ACGTGTTAGATTTCAGCACTGTCCAGTTGGACAAGGACTTGTCTTATGAGGAGAAGCTGGTAGCCATTCTAGAACGACAGGTTCGTCAGTTGAGGTCGAAGAGTTTTCCTTCTGTTCGTGTTCAGTGGAGAGGTCAGCCTCCTGAGGCCTCGACCTGGGAGTCCGAGTCCGATATGCGGAGCTATTATCCCCATCTTTTCCCCGACTCAGGTACTTCCTTCTTCTGTCCGTTCGAGGACGAATGGTTGTTTTATAAGTGGAGAATGTTCACTTGTTTTTAAAATGAATTCTACGTTTTGAAGCCTTAAAACCCTCCTTTTGCATTGCCTCCATTTGCATGCGCAGTCGGGCACGTTGCCAAAAAGCTTAAATGAGAAAATTTGTGAAAAATGATAAATTTTGACTTAAAATGCATTTAAGTTGACTTCGGTCAACATTTTGGGCAAACGGACCCGAACCCGTGATTTGAGGGTCCCGGAGGGTCCGTAGCAAAATATGGGACTTGGGCGTATGCCCGGAATTGAATTTCGAGGTCCCAAGCCCGAGAAATGAATTTGAAAAGAAAATTATTTTCTGAAATTGTTTAAAGGATTTCGAAATGAAATTTGATTAGAACATGTTGGTATAGGGCCCGTATTTTGGTTCCGGCGCCCGGTACAGGTCTTATATATGATTTAAGATGATTCTGTGAAATTTGGTGAGAAACGGATGTCATTTGACGTGATTCGGAGTTTAAATGAAAAATTTGATGTTTTAAGAAGTTTGAAATAATTCATTGATTTTGAGGTTAAATTCGATGTTAATGATGTTAATTTGGCGATTTGATCGCACGGATAAGTTCATATGGTGTTTTAGAGTTAGTATGTATGTTTGGTCAGGTGCCCCGAGGGCTCCGGTGAGTTTCGGATGTGTTTCGGAAGGTTTTACACTCTTAATAAATTGCAGGTTTTCAACTGTTGGTATCTGATATTTCCTTCTTCACGTTCGCGGGAGGACCCTCGAGAACGCGATGTGATAATTATGTTAAAGGAAATTCCTTCTATGCGAACGCGTAACCCAGGACGCAAACGCGAGGCGTTGGGGGGTCTTCCCTTCGCGAACGCGAAGGCCAATTGAGCCTGGGTAGGGGGAGAGGGATTTTACCCTACGCGAACGCGTCCACACGAACGCGAACGCGAAGGCTCTGGGGGCTGAGGCTCTGCGAACGCGAGCCGTCTTCCGCGAACGTGAAGTCCTAGTAGGCCCAACCCATCGCGAACGCGATGGACCTGTCGCGAACGCGATGAGTAATTTCGCCCAGTTATTTTAAAAGACCAGAATAGTAGCCATTACGGGATTCAACAAAAAATTTCATAATTCTTCTTCCAAACTCCAAATTGGGCGATTTTTGAAAGAGAGCTTCACCACAAATCCATAGGTATGTAATCTTAGACTCATTTTCTTCAATTTCCATTAACACCCATTAGATTTCTAGTCCTAAAACATGTAATTAAGGGTAGAAAATTAGGGAATTGGATAGAGTTAGGGCTATTTGATTATTTGGGAATTTGATCTCATTTTGGGGTCGGATTTCAAAATAAATTATATATTCGGGCTCGTGGTTGAATGGGTGATCGGGTTTTGGTCTGAACCTCGTGTTTTGACCAAGCGGGCCCGGGTCAATTTTTGTGTTTTTGGAAAGAATGATTGGAAAGTTTAATTAAGCATTGGAATTGGATTGTTTGGCATTTATTGATGTTATTAAGTCGATTATGTTTAGATACAATTGATTTGGAGCCGAATTCAAAAGGGAAAGCGGTGTTTGAGGCTTGAGTTGGCCGTGAAAGTTCGAGGTAAGTGTTCGGTCTAACCTTAGCTTGAGGGATTAGGAGTTGAGTCCTATTTGCTATTTGCTTCTTGTTGAGTACAACGCATAGGCATGGTGACGAGTATCTATACGGTGATGTCGAGCATGACCGTGAGTCCTAAATTGATATTGTTGTGTTCTTATATGATACTACGGATGCTTTAAATGATGATTCTCGATATTGAGCAAGTATTAAATTTGTTCTCGTGGTAATTACCTATGATTTGAATATTGGTGTTCGCTGAGATGAATAGAAGGTTGAGTTAAGATTGGTTATAGCTGATTCTCCCTTGCCGGGACATATTTACTTTTATTGTCGATCCCTTGTCGGGATAGTGTAGTTTATTGTTGATTCCTTACTGGGATAGTGTAGCTTATTGTTGATCCCTTGCCGGGATAGTATAGCTTATTGTTGATCCCTTGCCGGGACTCTTGGTATGGTTGTTGCTAAAGGTATATGAAAATATGGATCGGGTTGCACGCCGCAACAAAACTATATATGGATTGGTTATTTCCCCTCCCATTTAAATTGTTTATTCCTGTTTATTTTCCGCTGCATATTATACAACTGCACAGGTTTATCTGGAGTCTGGTCCTAGCCTCATCACTACCTCGCCAGGGTTAGGCCAGGCACTTACCAGCACATGGGATCGGTTGTGCTGATGCTACACTCTGCACTATGTGCTTGTGCAGATACCGAAGCAGCATTTGGATAGTAGTACTTACGGAGCCAGCCTTCAGTCCATCCAGAGATTTTGATATTTAATTTGACTAAGTTTTCCACTTGATTTCATCTTCCGCTATTATTTTAATGTTGATCACCTGTTAATTCAAGTTGTTAAAAAGGATCAAAATGAATGAGTTAAGAATTTCTATATTTCGTGGCTTGCCTAGCTTCTACGAGTAGGCGCCATCACGACTCCCGAGGATGGAAAATCCGGGTCGAGACATAAGTAGCATTGGCTTTCAGCCGCTTAAGAATAAGAACGAAACTGTATGAGAATGGGCTAATTGAGGGACAATACTGAGGGGTACAAACATATTCAAATTGAGCACATAAGATAGGCAATAGAACATGCTTAGATTTAGGCACAGACTTGAAAAAATTCGGAAAAAAAAAACAAGTTCAACACAGAGTGCATAACAAGACAATTTGCAAAACAGTCTTACAATAAGAAGAAAAAGAGAGTTTAGATTATGCTAAATGTAGAAGGCTAGTGTAACAAAAAAGGATCATTTCAATTAGCTACAGAACTTATCATGCTGAGAACTAAATAAGGCAATTACTGGAGAATTCAAGACATGATGAAAACATGATAAAAAACAGGCTACATTACAGCAGATTCAGAAATAGACTTGTTATTTACTTATTGAATACACTCATACTGAGTCAACTATTTCATAGCAAAGGGATATGAGAGCATGTTCAAATAACAGGGCTAATAGAAAACTTAAACGTTCAAGATATGGCTATCAGTAACACATAGGCTAGACAGATCTAAAAGAAAGAAATCAACTCAGGTCTAAACATGTCTCAAACGTAATGATATTTAGATTAGCAAGGCCTAAAATTGAAATAACACATTCAACAAAAGATCTTTAGAGGTGAAAACACATGTTAAATCAGAATGAAATGACAAAGGTTTTGTAACTCACCAATTAAATGAAACAAGAAAGAAAGGAAGGCCACAGTGTTATGAATATCAACAAAAGAGCAAGAACCCATAATTTTTGGCCTTGGTTTTCAGCTGGCCAAGAACCAAAATGCAGAACTAGATTGTTAAAGAGAAAAGAGCACACAACTTTAATTTTTAGTAATTTTCTTAATGATTCCAGAACTATTTCAAAAGGGGATTGGGAAGGGTTTATATAGTGTAGGAATCGAACACATAAACATGGAAAATCGTCAGTCAAACACTAGAAAGGAAAGCAATCAAAATCAGTAAGGAAAGGAAGAAAAATTTTAAACCCTAATTTTAGGTAAAGTACACAAATCGACAGAAATAAAAGGTAAAAAAATCACATGCTTCATAGAATAAGATGAACATAGACAAGAATCAAACCAGATTTGGTTTGATTTAAAAGAATCTGAAACCCTAACTTTAGGGTAAGTAAAAATAAGCAGAGAAGAACAAATTTACACATAATAGGATGCATATAGACGAGATAACATTTAAAATCACAGAATCAAACCATATTTGGTTAGATCTAAAAGAATCTGAAACCCTAATTTTTAAGGTAAGTAAAAATCACAAAGATACATAGAGATTCATAGATATTCATACCATAAAAGACAAGAACGAACACAGATGAAAAAAAAGGTCAAGGAACTAAACCAGTTTTGGTTCGAAATTGAAGAGATCCGCTTGCCATGTTTAGGCAAGCGGTATATAGAAGGTTCCGGTACCAGCGGGAAGTAGTATATGGTAAGAAACAACTAAGTAATCCCATGTTCGGTGGGATTAGGAGAGAAAATTGGGGGAGACGGCTAGGGTTTTGGGCAGAGAGGTGAGAGTGGTTGGAGAGCATTCGAAGGCGGCGAGGGACGGTGAATGGTTAGGGTCAGGGTAGGGTTTGGTTAATTAAAAGGGAAAGAGTAATATGGGACATTGATCTTAGAGATCAACGACCATGATTAGTCAGAGGTTTTGGGTCGGGTTAGTTAATTGGGTTTGATGAGGGTTTATTTGGTTTGGGCTCAAGTATTATTGTGCTGGGGCTGGGGTAGTTTATGTCCGAAATTAGGATGAATTTAGGGCCAAATTTTGAATACCCATTTTTTAATAAATTAATAATTTATGAACGTAGTAAATAAATAACAAAAATATGACTTGTGCATAAAATAATTGAAAATAATTACTTAATGAGGATAGTTATTGGGTATTTCTATTATACTAAAATGCGGAAATAAATTGATTTAAAGCCTTTAAGAATTATGAATAATTATAAAAAATATTATGTATGCTTATAAATTAAATGATGATGCACAAGCAATATATATATATATATATATATATATATATATATAAATGAGGAAAAATTGGGTATCCACATTTGATCCGTTCCTCCTCCATGGAACAATTACTGAATTAAGCTTTTTGCAGTACGTTTGGCACATGAAAGAACTCCACAGGCTTGGTTTTGTTTTATAATTCTACCACAGCTTGCAGAATAGTGCTTTAGACACATCGTACAAAGAACTGAAGCCTATTCCACCTTTCTCATATGGCATACACAAAGTGTTCCATGATGCCCAATGTCTACTGCTGCCTCCAATAGAACTACTCTAGAAAAATTAAGCAAACAACTTAAGGAATTTGTTGATTACAGAACTAGGAAGATTTACTGCAGATAAGAGGCGTATTAGCATACTCTGAAGGACATGCGCAATCAACATTGCCCTGCCTCCTATTGCGAAAAGTTTGCCTTTCCATGACTGCAACTTATCAAGAATCTTAGTGAGAAGTCCTTGATAATAATCCATTATTCTTCTTGAATAGAAAATTGCACAGCCCAGGTATGTAAATGGGAAGTCTTGCCTCGTAATTCCAGTGATCCTCTCCACCTTTGTAATCACCTCCAAACTGGTAAAAGGGTGCATATACACAACTGACTTGCCTTATCTTATGCCCAAATGCAACCTCATATGCAATACAATACCTCCATCACCAACTATAATGATGTATCATCAGAGGACGAGAATATAATTGTATCATTTGCGTATGCTAAATGAGTAATCTTGGGACATCACATAGGCATACCAAAGCCACGAAAATATAAGTTTAAGTGCAGTGCATTTAGACCTCTAGACAGTGCTTCAGCAGCTAGTATGAAGAGTGTAGGTGAGAGTGGATCCCCCTGCTTTACACCCCATGTTGATTTAAAGAAACCATGGGGTTGTCCATTAACGAGCACTGAGTACCAGTTATTTCCCACAATATACAAAGATGAAGCCAATAAATCTTTCTCCAAAGCCATTTTCCTCAGTACCATAGTTAGAAATAACCAAGATAACCTGTCGTATGCCTTTGTCATGTCCAGCTTTATTACCACATTAGCACCAGCCGTTGTTCGTAGCTTAATATCAGTGATGATTTCTTCAATTAATAATACATTCTCCACGATGCTCCTCCTTTCACAACTCCATTTTGATCGTCAGATATTAAGCTAGGTAGCAACCCCACCTACCTCTCATGAATCACTCTAGAGAATATCTTGTTGATGACATTGCTAAGGCTTATAGGCCTCATATCTTAAAATGTAGGTACCTTTTTTTTCTTTGGTAGAAGAACCAAGTTAGTGTGTGTCACACTTTTTGGTAACTAGTGACCATTAAAGAATGCATTAACCATGTTATAAATATCTTCCCCAATAATATCCCAGCATGAGTGATAGAATGCACCTGTAAAACCATCTAGACCTCATGCACTATCACCATTTAAACCGTAAACTGCTTGCTTGACCTCTTCTCTAGTGGGCTGCCTAATCAAGTTTGCATTCTGCTCCATATATAGCAGTTGAGGCAGATGTTTTATTATGTCAAAATTAGTAGGAACAACACTCTCATTGAATTGATCCATAAAGAAATTAAAAGCTTCTTCTGCCATCTGCACATCATCACCAATCCAATTGTCAAAGTTGTTTTGAATCCTCCTTAGCTGTAATATTTTTCTTCGACCATCAACTTGAGCATCAAAAAACATTGTATTCCTATCTCCTTCTTTAAACCATGTCATACCAGATTTTTTCCTCCAAAAATCTTCCTCAATTGCAAGGTATCTAATCAGTTGAGCTTGCACCATTAGATGTCTTTCCCTATTCTGTTGTGTAGGCCTTGCTTGGATTTGCCTTTCATTCTCCAAAACAACCTCCTCAAAGCTAGCTATCCTTTGGAAAATATGCCCAAAGGTTGCTTTACTCCAAGTAGACAAAGCCTTCTTCAACTTCTTAATCTTATGTAACAATAATTAATGGATTAACACATAAATCTGCTTTCCAATTCACCTTTACCACTGTCTTAAAAGACTCATTCTTCACCCATAAAATAAGAAACCTAAAAGGCTTCTTAATAGGTACAGCTTCAATGTCACACTTCAGCTGCGTAGGATAATGATTTGATCCAATTTTTGATAAGTGAGTGACTTTCAAGCCTCGGAACAATTGTTGAAACTCCATGTTAGCCAAACATCGATCTAATCTCTTGAAAATACAATCTTCCTCTGCCCTGCCATTCCACCAGGTGAAGATGCTTCCTTTAAATCCAAGATCTGTCAAGTTACAAGTAGTGATGCAGTGCCCAAAATAATCAACTTTATTTAATGAAACTGGTAGGCCTCCAAACTTTTCTTCCTCATCCCATATCACATTGAAATCACCCCCCCCCCCCCACCCCCACAAGCCAAGGAACTTTCATATCTTGAGCCAAATTATACAAAAAGAGTCCCACAATTCTATTCTAATAGCATCTGTCACGACCTGATTTAGGATCGTGACCAGCGCTTAGGAGTAAGTGCCCCCAAGTAAGCCTCATCGGTATTTTACAGAAAATCGGGCAGAGTTTCCCCTGTTTTGGACTATCCCAAAAAAATTTTATACCTCAAATCAAAAACCAAACATCCTAATACCATACCAAACACTTGACAACTTGTCAATTAACCAAAACAAGTCTCCACCATAACTAAACCACCAACTAACCACTAGAAATAATAATTTATCTCCAACTTTGATAAATTAGAACGATACTCAACATAAGACTATAATAGCAAATGAATACTCATGACACTAAAATAATGACTATGGAGCGACTCTAAGAATTCAAAGAAAAAGATCATAACAATAAATAAAATCTCCGCCCACGCGAACAAGTGCGAGGCTCACCAAGAACTATTAACCTGTGCGCTCTAATTAACGAAATCCTCGTCCGCGTCAACTGTTGTCTCTGTAAAAAAAAATTAGCGGGGAATGAGTCGCTAGCTCAGTGAGTAATAATACTTAACCACAACAATTTTTAATGGGGACAAGTCAGAAAACATGCTAGTACATCAAACAGATAACAACATTAAAATGCCCTTTCAGAAACAATAAATAATTTTCAGTCTCATCATGTTTTTCTTGTAGTATAATACAATTAATAATTCAGTAATAAGCTCGGTAACCACTGTATAATATCAATATTCACATTTGGGAGGTTTCAATGAGCGGATCATGTAATCGGTATAACTGTGGACTTCTTCGCAAGAAATCAAATATAACGGTAGTCCCTACTCGAGGGAAATCGATAATGGTATGCTAGTTCTACCTTCCCACTAGCGAAGGCTATAACTGTACTCTGTAATCGGTAAATACAAGGTGCAGCAGGTCTAACGAACCCGCCGTTAGCTACGTGATCCTTCAAAGTCTACTCCCATTTATACTTGTCTTTATATCCGTATATACTCATAGGAAAATATTTTAGAACAATATAGGGCATTTCGGTTCTTATCAAATCATGTAATTTCAATTAGATAACAGTAAATTCAAGTAACGGTAAAACAGATCTGGTGGCAACAGAAATATTTAAAACAACGGTAATCTTCTCAAATAACTATTTCGATATCATATCGAGTAAAAGACTCGTCCCACATACAACTCAAAATAATCGGCAACATATTAATATTAAAAATCATGTGTAAGTCATGCAAGTTATGAAAATAGAAATTGTGGTAAGATTACTACTCACAATATTCGTGCCGAAATTCCAAATGCTTCACCTCGAGCAATTTGTACAACTTCCTCCAATTCAATCTATAATTACATAATATTGTTCTCATGTCAATTTCTATGTTTATGCTAATTCATAGCTAATTTAGAATGCCCAACCCTCGAGATTTATGTTTGAGTCTTAATTTGTGGATTTATATTTAATCATAGAAGTAGTCCATAATTCTATCAATTTCAAACTATTTAGTATAATTTATTCCTCTAAAATTAGACTTATCAGTGCTTAAACCAAACCTTTATAGCCTTATTATCTCCATCGTAAGTGTATTTTTTTATAAGAGAAAGTTGATATTGAATTCTTTTGTACTACATGAAATTGCATAGATGCAGTGAAATAATTCAACAGATGAGAGGAAGAAGGTTAACCCCTTGAGTCGATGGAGAACTTTAATACTTTCAATATCAAGCCCTAATTCTTCTTAAATCCTTTGTCCAAAGCTTTGTTCTTCTTCCTCTCTTTTCTTCTTTTCTCTTTCTTCCCTTCTCTACTTCTGTTTTTTTTCTAGTTTTCTTGAAGCGGAATGCTTCGTCCCTTTTCCCCTTGCCCTTTTTTCAATTTGGCAGATTTTTCTAATCCATACGACTTATTTCATGTTAATGGGCTAAGCCCACTTGTATTCTTTCTTCTTCTGTTTTTTTTTTCTTTAGGTTTTGTTTATTTAGTTTCCTTGTTTGTTTTTTTTTTTTTTGCAGTTAGTTTCTTATTATTATTATTATTATTATTATTATTATTATTATTATTATTATTATTATTATTATTATTATTATTATTATTATTATTATTATGACCAATAGACCCTTATAAAAAAATAGGGTATTACATCCTCCCCACCTCATGAAATTCGGTCTCCGAATGTAACTCAAGTACGTACCTGTAGACTGAAACATATGGGGTTGTAAGCACGTGATTTTTGCCCTAAGCAAATTATTCCAAAAGTTTCAAATAAAATGATTTTACAATTTTTGTGGATGTTGTTGAATTTGGTGTTAATTGATTGCATGATAATTCATATTAAAAATACATAAATAATTTCACAATTTTAGTATTAACTAGGTATTAATTTGTTTTAGAACAAAATTTAAAGAAAATCACAAAAAAATAGTTTCTAAGCACTTTTAATTGATAATTGTTGCATTTGTCTTTAAATATGAATTTTAAATAATTTTAGGAGTTAAATAGTTTAATTAGGCCTTTGTTTTGATTCTATAACATTTATATAAATCAGAAAAATACAAGAAATACAAAAAAAATACAAAAATGAAAATGAAATCAAAGCAAGTAAATAAAAAAAGAAAACAAACAAAGGAAATAATAAAGAAGGAAAAAGAGCTGCAGAAAATTGGGCTAAATCACCTAGGCCCAAACGAAAACCCAATCCCATTGCTCGCCCAGCCAAATGTCGCCCCATCCAGCCCTAGCCCTTTTAACCAAACGACGCCGCTTGGCGTCGTTAAATCTGAGCCCTTAATTGAGTTGATCCAACGGCCACGGGATGATCTTCTGCATTTCATAAATATGTCAAAAGGGACATAACCCTAGAGACATCAGATCTCCTTCCTCGTACCCAATCTCTAGCCTCGCCGGAACATCGCCGCCGGCGAACAGTACCACCGATAATGCACTCCAAAATAACATCGGACATTCCTCTCATCCTCCTCGTCGTGAATCCATTACCCCTTGCCTTTAAATCTTGCACTATCTCGTCGAATATCCCGTCAAATATTTTCCGGCCATGACACAAGTTATGCCAAATGGCCCCAAATTCACACCACAGAACCATCCATACCTCATCTACCCATCCCCCATAACCATATGTCTCGAATATAGCTGGAGTTGCTCGAATCATGAAAAGAAATTTTCCGGCCAAAACCCTAGTCGCCCCAAATCGCCCCAAATTGATACCGTAGGGTACCGGGGCCTCCTTCGCAAAGATTTGGTCATCAATCAAGGCCCAAACGACACCACGAATGGTTGAAGGTCGAGTTTGATGTTTAACCATAATTCAAGCCATGGCTATAAGCATCACCCTCTCGTTTAATTCTTTTGATTCTGTCGTAATCAGTAGTTCTCGTCTTTTTTTTAAACATAGTTAAAGTTCTGTTTAGATTTCTTATTCCCATTCCATGTCTGATTCTATTCGCTTGGATTGCAATTCATGTTGTTTTCTAATTTCATTGATTATTAGTGTGATTTCTTTGGGGTAAATCCATTACGGATACAATTAACTTGATAA